ACTAACTTCCCACACTCCTTACATCTAACTCGTTCGGTCTCTGGCTCGAGGATGAAATAATTTTCGACGAAATGAACATTTGACGAAACGAACATTCGACAAAATGAACTTTCGATGAAACAAACATTCGACAAAATGGGTGTTGACGAAGTAAACGCGACCGATCTTTTCTCTACTCAATAATTTCTTTACCTTTTCCCTCCGATTGAGTCCTTCTTATTCATAGGTCTCTGTCAATTCTATCCAATATCTTATCCTAATGATTGTTATCAATATTCTCTATACGATAACATTCTACAACTCTGATACATTTCCAAATTTTCTTATATTTGAAAAAAGAAAAATTTGGCATACATGTATTGTATTTATACAATCTTTATAGTTTCCCCTCTACTCTACCAATTGCCCCAATGCTTTAGCTGTAAAGCAGCCCTAAATCATAATTTCTCCCCTGTCACGCTTTACTGTAGGTGACAAATTTTCAATATTAAAATGAGTCCCATCTTCGTGCCAAATTCATGTTGGTCCATCACTACCAAATATTGTAAAAAGAGCAAGGAAAAATCTGAAACTGGTGAACAAGAAGAAGAACCTGTCAAAGCTAAATCGCCAAGTAAAAAGAATAAAGAAAAATCCAAGGCTGATGAACAAGAAGAATCTGCTAAAGTTAAATCATCAAATAAAAAGCGCAAAGCAAAATCTAAGGCTGACGAACAAGAAGAATCTGTTGAAGCTAAATTGTCAAGTAAAAAGCGCAAAGAAGAATTTGATATACAAGAAGAATCTGCCGAATCTAAACCGTCAAGTAAAAAGGGGAAAGAAAAATCTAAAAATGATGAACAAGAAGAATCCGTTAAATCATCAAGTAAAAAGGATAAAGAAGAATCTAAATCGTCAAGTAAAAAGGATAAATCTGGTAAAGTGAAGACCGAAAAGAAAGAATCGGTGCAAATAGCAGATGTGGAAGAGCACGGAGAGACTTCAAAAAGTGCCGAAAAATCAAAGAAAAAAGATAAAAAGGATAAAAAGGATAAAAAGGATAAAAAAGAATCAAAAGCTACAAAACGTAAACATGACGGTTCAGATGAGGGTAAAGATGATGGTAAAGATGATGGTAAAGATGAAAAAGGTGAAACTTCAAAAGAATTTTTTATTCAAGTCTTTTTTAAATTTTATTTTTGATTAATTATATATAAAAATTTTCTTTTATTATAGAACTTGATCCTAAAAGAAAAAAGAAAAAATCAAAGAAATAACTGAAATCTGACCTCCAAAAATTCTTTAAAATTTCCAATTTCTGTAATATTTTATTTAAATTTTATTTATTAAAAATAAAAGTTTTTCATCACGCACGATCCCTTGAAAAAGAAAAAACAACAAAGGGATGTAGCAAATAGTAAAAAAAGGAGAGAATGTCCATAAGTTAACCTACTAGTCGGGAAGAATACAACCAAGAACTGGCCCATTTAAAAGACCAATTTAATTGATTTTAATCAGCACAATCACGAAAACCCAGAGTTTATGGAAAGAAAAATTACAATAATATTCGTAACAAAGAATTTATTGAAAAAAGAGGATTTCTCATCATTTGCTTTAAAAATATCGAAAGAATTGGTAGAAATCAAGTCTCGAAAGAAGCTTTATTTACCAGTATTTAAAACGCTGAATTATTTTAATAAAGAAATGGGTTCTACCACTTCTATCCCTGAAACGGAAAATTTATCCGACTCTTTGCTTTCTCGTTTAGATTGAATTAATATGCTAACATGGCTCAACCGAAGAATTTTTTTTTAGAATAAGCATTACACTCCTCATTAAAACTTTGATCCCCGAAACTCCTGGTAACAAAAGTGTTCATTTTGTCTGGTTTTGTTGCAAAATCACGGAGAACCCAAAAGCAAATTGACTAAAAGTTTTCAGTAATTAATGCTGAAATTAAATTAGTAATAAAATAAGAACTATGTTAATATTTACATTTACTCGCGTTAATTAAATTTTTTTTACAGAATCACTAATTACTATTAACAAATATTTCTATGTAGTAATCAAGGATCTTTCTATTTACATGTAGTGAAAGAAAGACTGTTTAAATTATTGTAAGAATTTCTAAAAATTGTTTTTTAAAACATCAAAAATATTTATAAGTTACCATGTTGTTTGGTTAATTCTGAACAATTGGGTGTATGAGAATTATTTTCTCTAAGAAAAAGAATTACTTGTTATTTCATTTGGTTCTTTAAAAATTTCTTCGATAGTTTCTTTAAAATTTTTCCTTCTTCCCGTTTAATATATCTTCCCAAAAATTTTTTTCGTTCACCTTTCAGCTCTTTTAATCAAATCGTTCAAATTAGATCGCTATTGAGATACGAATAGCCTGTTTTAGCAATTGTTCATTAACTTGCCTCTTAACTTCTCATCTACTTTACTAGATACAATTCTTTCCAATATTGTTTTTGAGATGATGGCGGTGTTGCTGTTGGCAGCGAATATTTCTAAGCTTCAAGTGAAGACATAAGGGACAATTTTTTCACCATGTTCTTTCTTCAAAACACTTCTGATTGTACTATAAATTCTTGGGTTTCCATGGTAGATCTGATGTAAACGAGGTTCATATTTATGGTTTTATTTGTATAAGTTAACAGATGGGACATTATAAAATCGTTAATATTAATAGTAAAATCCGAAATCCTTGGTAATATATTAATGATTTATGATTTATATAATCACTAGAATGAAAGATGTTCCCATTTGAATAATCTTTTGAATATAGGTCATTTTTTAAATGATAAATAAAAATTATAAAGTAGAAATCAGATACATAACGGATGTTTACGGTAGGCCAAAATGGAAGCACATTAGGTACATGTTTATCTGATAAGTCATCTGGTAATCAATCAATCACATGTGTTATTTTAACCAAGGATACTTATTTAAAATAACTGACCCTAGCAATAGTAGTAGAAGTAGTGATAACAATGAACTCCATAGAGGTGGTGATGATGATGATAATAACAATGGTGATGGTGGTTTATAAAGCATTTTTATATACAGCAACTTTTTATTTTTATTTTAAAGGATGCTACATGATAAATGAAGAAGGCAATATTACTGAGAGTGGACCATTTATAAATATCTCTTATTTCCATTGTATTGTCTTAACCTCCAAGCATATACGTGTTGTAAACGTACGGCAGACTTTAATCGGCCAAAGAAAATTAAAGTAGAAACTCTATAGAAGCCTTTGTTGCTTTGTAGAAGGACTACCTTTATTTATGGTAATCCGTTGTGATTTGTACCATAAATTGTGCTTACAGATTCACCAAAGTTTAAGAAAGAGGGATAAATTCGTAAAATTAATTGACGAGCATTGTATATAAAAGCGACAAGTTTGGCTAAAAGGTTAACTCAAACTCGACGAGAAAACGTAAAATAATCGATGTTGATCAAAAAGTTTACCTTTGGAATTTTTAGGACCGATTGATATTAACACGGAAATTCAAACCCTTTTGAATGGTCGGTCGATCGGTAATGGAAAAAATCGAATTAAAAAATAAATAGACAAGAAGATAATTGCTTACAAATCACCATATGCTTGTTTCAAAATACTTGACATTCTTTAAAATTCTTGTATTACTTTCTAAGCCAATTATATTACATACTAATACTTTCGTTTTTTTAATTAATCTGGTGATTTTTTTTGTATGAATTTATAGTAACTCTCCGTGGAAATTTTATATTACATAAGGTATAAACGAATAATCTTTGGTTTTTAATATCATTGTTAATTTCTTTTCATTTTAAGTTCCCGGTTAGTATAACATCAACTAAATAAGCGGTAGTCTTTATTGCCATCAACTCCCACGCAATAATTGGAGAAAATAAGAATAAAGCAAATTAGAATAGATTAGACTAAATGTGCTATTACTAGCGAATAACACGGGGTTTTATTTGATATGGTTTATCAAGTCGAAACTTGTTCTCAAGCCAAAGTTTGCTATCATTCAAGAAAAGTTATTCAAGTACATTAAATCCAGATTGATTACTTATATACAGTGTGTTTAAAAAAAATGGCGGTTTGTAAAATATTGTTTTAATGAAAAAGTAGCCAAAATTATGTAATAAAAAATTATACCAGAGAATCGGAAGAGCTTAGATTATAATATAGAAAAGTTTTGAAGTATATTGTTATGTAGGCTTTAGAGTAATTATTAAATAATTTACACATCTGAATGGTTTTTTCAAATAATCAAATTCCTTTTATTTTCAATTGACAAAATTCTAGAAAATCTGAAAGTGTGAAACTTTATATACATAATCTCCGGAACTTTTGCTACAGACTGGTATAATTTTTTGTATAATTATTATGTATATGCTTGTGTCAGAGCTATCATTAAAAAATTCCATCTTAAAATTTTAGGGACAAAAATTTAGCAAAGTTCTAAAAAAAATATATGAATTAGCTTTACAGAAATTTGCAATGTTTGTTTTTATTATTTAATAAAGTAAATGATAAAGCTTTCGAATGAATCCAATTTTATTCAACTATGTTGTGTAATTGTTGAGATATGTGATACTTTTGTGACCGCCATTTTGAAAAATCAGTTAAATAGTGAATGATATTGCTTGCTGTTAACATTTATACCAGTTCCACTTATTAATATTAGTTGATCTACTTACTGTATACACGTATAAACGAATTTAATTTAAAATTTTCCATTATCATCCATCATGTCGCAAATTAATGAAAATGTTAATGTTACAGCTGGTAGCAGTAATAACAGTCAAGTAGAAAGTATCAAAGAATCAGTAGTTATTGAAGAAGACAGCATTATTCCACCTGAAGATAATTACAATATTATTTATTGTATTTTTTTTTTACAAGGAATTGCAATGCATTTAGCAGCGAATGAATCATTATTTTGGGGAACATATAGACCTAATTTATATTTTGGAGTTAGACCAAGATTACCCGAATCTTTATTAAGTGGATTAATGTGGTTTGGACTTGGGGATTATTATTCACTAAAAAGTATCCTAATCATCATCATCATCATCATCATCAATATCATTATGATTTATCTATTACATTTATAATGAATTTATTTTATTATATTTGTTAAAGATTTTAGACATCAATGCGATCAGGCGGATAAAATGAAAGAGTATAGCTATAAGAAACATGACGGAAGAAATTTTGGAGTGCAAACTATAACAGATGAAGTCAGTAATATAATATTGAAATCTGAATTTGTAAAAGTTTCCAATGGTGGTGGAAAAGGTGAATATAAATAACAAATTGTGAAAAGTAATTTCTTTTATTTATTAATCGATATCATTGTCGTAAATAAGGTGGTGATTGGGCTGTAAGAATATCAGGCAAACCTATTGATTATGGTAACTACTAAAGATTTAATGTATATTGTTGGTTTATTGATGAGAATAATTTTTGGTATTTAAAACGATATTTTGTTTTTGTTTTTGTTTTTTAAACAAGATAAACCTTCAAAAACTTCAATTTTTTATTATTTTGCTCTTGAGGGTGAAGGATACATTGATCTGATCAATCCAATTGATAAAATGGTATATTTATTATAATTTAGTGTGTATGTAAAATATTATAATTTTTTTATTATTGTTCATTAATTAATTTTTAATATTAAAGGGATTAGATGATTATATTATATTAAAGGGTGAAACACCTGACCTTGGCAACTTTAATATTAAAATAGTGGATGGTATTTATTATATTATTATTTACACTAACATAATTATAATTATACATGATTTATTATTAAAATAAAATAAAATTATTATTAATAAAATGTTTAATTTTTATTTAGATTCAAATAATCAAAGTCCAACAATCAATCCAATTTATAATGATGAGATTGCTGATATATCTAAAACACAATTTTTTGGTCAATTGATATCTGACGATGATTTATGGAAAGCAAAAGGTATAAATTATGATTTACAAAATTATAGAGTATTAGAAATTAATTAATTAACTAATTAATGAATGAATGAATTATTGTAGTTTTTATTATTGTTGTTTTTATTATTATTATTATTATTGATTGTGATTATTAACATCATTTTTTATTTTAAAGATATAGCACTAATAAATTTACAAAAAAAAATTCAAATAATAAAAGAGAAATATTCTAATGAAGAATTTCCACCACCACATTATTCATTTTTACTAAATAATTTAATTGAAGAAGATTCAAATTTTTATGCATTTCAAAAAATATTTGAAGGATCATTCCAGGTAAAACAACATTAAGTGAAATAAATAAAAAATCTATATCTTTATTGAAATAAAGAATATCATATACATGCACTCATATATATATATACACACACATAATATATGTTATAGTTTGATATAATTTATCAATCTGATCTGTCATCCACAAATATTGACTGTAAGTTAACAACAATAAGTTACTTGTTATTATTTAATGATAATAATATTGACTAGCTGATTAATTTTTGCATATTTTTTAGCTGGTAATTTGGGAGTATTAGTTGAAAAGAATTCAAAAGAATTTGACCAGAGATTTGAAAACACTTTTAAATTAACAGAAAAAGGTTTTAATAGTAATCAAATTAAATTTGCTCAATCAATTACAAGCAATTTATTAGGAGGGATTGGGTTAGATTTTTTTCTAAATCAAAAAATATAATTTATTTTAATTATTTTGAGTATAAAATATTAAGTATTAAATTATTTGTTTATTTGTTATATAGATACTTTTATGGATCTAGTATGGTTGACAGAACATATAGTGGTGACGAAGATGATATGGAGGAAGTAGAAAATTTTTGGGAGAAATTAAAAAAATCTAATCCAACTTTAACTTTACCCACAAGTTTATTTACTGCAACTCCTTCTAGATCATTTTTCCCTCGTGGATTTTATTGGTAATGATATTTCTTTTGCAAATTTTTTTTTCAATTATCATCCTTTATTATTAAATCACTGTTAACTAAATTATTTTATTATTTCTAAAATAATTTAGGGATGAAGGTTTCCATCAACTTTTGATTGGTCAATGGGATAATGATCTTAGGCAAATTTAATAAATATTTTTTCAAAAAGATTTTATTTTTGATATATTTTAACACGCACAAATACATGTACCGCGTGCTTTTGTTCGACATATAGTTTAGATATCACAATGAATTGGGTCAATTTAATTGATAATGATGGTTGGATTGCTAGAGAACAAATATTAGGTGAAGAAGCACGTAGTAAGGTAAATATTTATTTAATTGTCACTTTAATTGTTATATATATCTCCCTTTCTTTTTTTATTAAGATTTTGGGAAATTTTTAAAAAATAAAAAATCAGGTACCACCAGAATTTCAAATACAATATCCATATTATGCAAATCCTCCTACACTATACATGTCAATAATATCTTTTATTGACAGATTAGAAAATTTTGAAAATCAAACTTATTTAAATGTTCAAGGTAATTTCATTCCAAAGGAGATTTAAAAAAATACTTATTTTTTTATTTGGTTTATTCACAAATAAATTATTGTTATTATTAGAAATTCTTTTACAACAACAAGATATTATATTAGATAACTTATCCGCCACTACAAATCCAGAATTATTACGAATACAACATTTAATCAATCCAGAGTTGGGTGATAAATATTTAAAACAGATTTATGAAAAATTAAAATTGAATTATGAATGGTTTAGAAGAACTCAACGGGGTGAAATTAAAGAATGGGGTCGTAAAGCTAGTAATAATAGAGAGGCTTATAGATGGAGAGGTAGAACACCTGGTCATACATTAACCTCTGGTAAATTTCGGTCTCTTTTAAATAATGATTATCAAAAAAAAAAAAAATAATGATTTATTAAATTGTATATTGTAATTTTTTGGTTAAAAAAGGACTTGATGATTATCCAAGGCCAAGCCCACCACATCCATCAGAATTACATGTAGATTTGATGTGCTGGGTAGGACTTATGTCAAGAACTTTATCAATAATTTCTAAAAGATTAAATGAGGAAGATGATTTTGAAGATTTTACTAACGATTTTAAAAAAATTTCACAAAATTTACATGGTATTTATAAATCAATCGAATTATGATTATCTATTATTTTGTATTTCATTTTGATCGATAAGATTTGAATTCTTTATATATATAGATCTGCATTGGAGTGAAAACGATAAAGTTTTTTGTGATCTTTCTATTGATGAAGACGGTAATATACATATATTTATCGTAATTAGATTTAAAGTAATCAACTTATCAATTATTTTATTATTATTATTATTATTATTATTATTATTATTATTATTATTATTATGGGGAAGAGTAGAGGAATCGATATTTGTTTGTCATAAAGGATATTTGTCTTTATTTCCTTTATTTCTTGAATTTATACCAAACGATTCGCCAAAACTTGAATCTTTATTGGACTTAATTTACGATCCAAATGAATTATGGTCACCGTATCCTTTTTCTTTTAAAAAAATCTTTTTTCATAAATAAATAAATAAATGGAAAAACTGTTTCTTAAAAAATGTAAAAAAAAAAAAAAAACAGGTATGGAATAAGATCTTTATCAAAATCCGATGAATTTTTTGGCACAAATGAAAATTATTGGAGAGGTCCAGTTTGGATAAACATTAATTATTTAATATTATCTTCTCTTTATAAGGTAATTTGATTTTTATTTTAGAAAAATAATTCTACACATTATTTGAGACTTACATATGTTATATCATAATAATAATACTAAATAGAATTATGCAAAGAATCCTGGACCTTATCAAACTAAAGCTCAAACTATATATAAAGAATTAAGAAATAATATTATCAATAATGTATTTAAAGTAAGTAATTATATATAAATATATAAAATATAAAAGTATATATATAATAGTGAAATATGATAATAACAACATGACGATAAATAGGAATTTGAGAGAACTGGATATGTATGGGAACAATATTCTTCTATTGATGGTAAAGGATCAAGAAGGTTAGATAATATTTTTTTAAATAATTTGTTAAAAGAAATAAAAATTTTTGAAAAATTAATTAAAGCAAATTAAATTTTTTGAACTGTTTATTATTGTTATTAGTCATCCTTTTACAGGCTGGACAGCATTAGTTACTTTAATTATGGCAGAAAAATATTAAATTAAAAACATTCATTATTAATTTTATTTAAATAAAAACCACAAAATATTTAATCCAAAAAATGCAAAAGCAAATATATACTTTATTTGATCATATAATATTTCTAAATACGTGCTTGAAATTGAAAATTCTAGAATACATCTTTACATTTTGCAAATGCATAATGTGATGGGAAAATGGCATGTTACATCATATGGGCGTATTAAGGTGAGCATTTATGTCTACACGATTACAGGGTCTTTAAATCCAAATAATGTTTAAAGAAAATTTCATGTAAAGCTGTAAAACTTCAAAGTTCAAGATGTTTTACTAACGATATTAAAAGCATCATAGCCATAATAAATAAAATCACAAAAATGCTTGCCTTCGGAAGTGAATTGTGATCGGACCATTCTTTAGCTTTTTACTTCTATGTTACTGACCCATAAAAACCAGCTCCACAAAGGATTAAGAAATGAATGAATTGCATCACCCAAATCTTCAATCATCCCTTAAAGAAAGAAAGACCGTTCAGAAATGAAATCAATTTTGAAAAAGATCTGAACATCGTTTTCTTCAAAACTTTTGAAACGTTTTTACTGTGTGAGGGTTTGATGTGGATTTGTTTTAATCCGACCTTTCCGTGCTTTCCGTATTGGACAAAGGGTTCCATCATCTTTTCATCCAAGTGGTAGCGGAAAAGTTTTAGTGGTTAAGCCTCCCTCTGGTTGGGCCTCTGTGGTTCCCTTTTCGATCGCAAGCTACTTAAGAATCATTTCCATGAATAATACTAAATCTGATATGTTGAGCTTTAGATGTCAGATTTAACATTCCTATCTTGTTGATCCCTAACTTCCTTCCAAGTTTCCTAATAATAAAAAAGTTGAATCAGGATGAACTATATCATTTCATAGACTTTCCGGAAGAATAAAGCTGATTCTTCATACATTTTTTATTTTTACGGTTGATTTGAATTATATCAATGGAATTGGTCTGTAATTGCTAATACTAATGAATTAACACACTATTACATTTTCTATGATATAGTGAGCTAACATACATGCTATTTAAATAAAAAAATGGAGCTTATGAGGTATCAACTATGCGAGAAAGGGTTCTAGAGCGGAAAACATAGATAGTAGAATAATATAATGAAAGAAAAAAAGGAATTTTGCTTTGTACTAGTACTACTAAATGAATGCGTTCCGACACTACGCGCCTCAACACTCGTAAATAACGGACACCATATCGATACTATGTATCTTAGCCCTGGAAACCCGAATGCATTGTGAAAAGTAACACAATTACCTCAACCCTGAAATTCGAATACGTTATGAAATGCAATCCATGTATGGCAATTCGGCTCAACGAGCTCAAGCAAATGACGCACAGAGTCCAAATAGGTCAAATATGGCTCGTTATAGTCGATAGGACATAGAGGGCTTAGTGAACACACATTTCTTTTTTATCGCCTCGGCTAGCATGATGACGCATTCATGGATCAATCGTCATATGTGTACTGTAGGCAAACGTAGACTGAATCGGAATTCTAGGATACTCTGCATCCCTTGACACATGGTACCTCGAATGTACCTAGGATTTGTGAAATACGGGTAGGTACTCATTTAACAAGCCATTGTACTTATTTAAATTAAGACATTTGACTTATTGGACTAGTTGTAAATTATTGGTGGTCACCGCCAAATCGAATCTTGCTTTTTTATTAATGATGCGAATTAATATGCGAAAAACAATTTGAGTTTGAATTTGAATTTGAATTTATATTATTATTTAGATAAAAGAATTCTTTAAATGATGACAGGGATCAATAATTTAAGAGACTTTTTTAGTGGCATCTAACATCAAATCAATATTCCTCATGAATACTAATTAGCCGAGTAAATTATTATTAAAATGTGTTTCCCAAATCTTCAAAAAACAGAATCTCACATTTAAATGATCGTCATACATGTGATTATAAAAATAAATTGATGATCTATAAAAATTTTTTTTAAAAAAATTAATTGTTAAAGATAAATAAAATGGTATGTTTTATATAAATGTATAAATATATTGAATTGAATTGAATTTTTAAATTAAATTAATATTTATACACATGTATATGTAGCCATCTCATAAAACTTTTAGGATCAAACGTGTCCTTGGGAAAAAACAAAAACAAAATCGACCGATTCCTCATTGGATTCGACTTCGTACAGGAAATACAATCAGGTAAAATAACAATATTATATAGATTAAGAATGTTTCCCATTATGTTAATATTTTAATGAATGATGTTTAATGATATTCAATATTATTATTATATAGATATAATGCTAAACGTCGTCATTGGCGTCGTACTAAGCTCAATATTTAATATATTATTATTAATTTGGAATATTTAATCAGTTAATAAAATTTGGATCTAAAAAGAAATTAAAAAACTTCATTCTTTTCTTTTCTTTCCTTTTATCCTAGAAAAAATTATTAATAAATTTATAATTCTTTTACTGAATTTGACAAAGCAAAAATTTATATAATATGTGGGCACGCTGTAACAAAGCCAGACAAAGTGATTAGGAAGCAGAATGTTTATTTATATGCTAAACTAGCCACGAGTATTCTGTGGTTCCAAAGGCCTGAACAAACAAATATTATTATATTTGCATCTTTGTAAAGAAGTAATTTATATCTGGCTTTATATGCCTTGATGACTAGGTATTGGGTTATATTAAAAATCATTTCATTGCCAAGATTATAACATATCTATTTATATATATAAACAGATATTCAGAATCGGACCTAATAAAACTAAAAAATATTATGTTTGCACTGAAAAATGACTGTATTAATGTGGCGGAACTAAATTTTTCACTGTTGGCCCGATCATGGGCTCTCTGCATCTATTTAAAATCAAACAAAACCATTTAAAAGAAAATGTAACTACGAGACAAATTGCCCAATTGACGTTAAAATAATTACAACTTTAATTAAAACTATATTTTTATAATAACAGAACATTTAGTGGCAATGTTATTAAGTATGTACACAAGTAAACTCGATAAGTCGGTCTCTTAATATAAGTCGAACTCGGCCAAAATTTTTTCTGCCCTTTTTTCAACATTTAAAATCTCTTGATAAGTCAGTCAATCTATATGTAAGTCAACCAACCCCTTTTTTCTAAGATATAATTGTAAATTACCATCGATAAGTCGATCTCACGTGATATTTTCATTGAGCGAAAGGTCATTACCGTAAAGTCTGGGCATCCCCTTTTTACATGTGTAACATTTTTTTTATATTGACGCTCAATTGTTTTAAAGTAGGGGTGCTATCTTTCCAGACTTTATGGTACTATTTAGTAACCTGTAATATTCAAAAAATTTAATATATCATTTATCATCATCATCTTGTTAGTTACCTCATTGATGTATCATTTATTATCTCAGAAAAAAGCGTTTCTTTTTTGTATCATGAACAATATATTTCAGGGTTGGCAAATTGACTGGTCCATTGAGAACAGATGGATTTTGGACTGGTCCATTGCAATTAATAAAATACTAAA